TTTACTTGTACATGAAATACACATAGTTAAATATTGAATTCATTGCTGTAAATATAGAACTAAAGTAACAATATTATTAAACTTATAAAATAAAATAATAAATGTTTATAAATATTCTTCTTATAAACAATGATTAAATATATAAGTTTTACTTTTTTTAGCTATAACTTCACAGTTATGAATCTTATGTTAATATGTCAGTGAAAATAATTATGACTACCAATATAATTATGTATGAATATATAATAATATATATAGCAAATAAGAAATAATAGTAATTACAAATTTTTTTCTCCTCAACAATGTACAATGTCCATGTTTAAAGTATATCATGTAGTAACTGTTAAAATTTTCCACCATATAAACCAGTATAATGAATATAAGAAAGGATGTTGGTGACAAATTAATCTAGTTTTATTTTTTTACTATACATTAAATGATTTCATAAGAGACAAAAATCGACAAAGATATTACATACTTATTTTTTATTATTTTGAACGTATTTTTTTCATTTTTAAAACCGATATGTGTACAGTATATAATATTATATGGTTTTAAAAATATCCCGTTCTGTATTTGCAAATGGCTATCTATTTAGCCACCTTCGTATATTTGCTAATTGATTAAATATTTTCTACACATATATATGCGATTTTTCACCACTGCTATACAACTATTACTCAGGATTTTATTCCATGTCTGACCTTGTTGATCATCTTCATACAACCATTTGCTCATTTCTCTCCAAGATATAAATTTCATATTAATAATATAAAATTTCAAATTGGTTCAATTTTTCATTGTAAACTAAAGTTGTATAGTCAATGGATACCGCATGTTAAATATGTTCTTTTACTTATATTCAGACTAAATTAATTTAGTTTCTCTTTTGTTTATTATATCTAAATCAACTCCAGAACTCTTCTATCTTTATTTGGTTTGCTATTCAATATGCGTGGATATATGAAGTTTCCGAATTTTTTTTTTTATATTTTTTGTCATTATATACAGTTTTAAATGTATTTTTTTATGTATTTATTATAATGCCCTTCTATTATTATCAAATACTTTTGTGAGAATTGGTTTTTCACTAAGCCTTCATTTAAAAAATGTATCTATGTACTTTATTTTTATTCTACTAACAATTATCAGTAACGTCCAACTTTTATTTAATATGTGCGAAGAATTTCGAAAATAACTTCTTTAAAGTACCACTCACATAGAAGTGAGAAGAATAGAGATAATTAGGGATCTTTTGCATAGGTCCTTAATATTAGTTGGCCGTAGCACAAATGTTGTACTTATATTTTGTATTCACTGCATCACGTAACATTATAACATCGTTAAAAGCTATTTAGCTTTTGTATTTGAAATTTAATTTAATATAAATTAACCATAAATATAAATACTCGCAGGATGTAAACACTATTTGGTAAATTACATACCTACCTATAAATAATATGTATTTATAAATTGCATTAAATAGCTACATGACTAAACATACAGGCCCAGGAAATCAGGCGCTTATGTAAAGGTTTGTACTTAATCGCTTACCTACCTGAATACTAATAACCTAAACATAGTATTAATTAGTTTCAGCTTTTCTGCTTACACGAGTTATATTATATTTATATATATATATTATACATCGCGTTGGTACGAAAATGGCTGTTGATCCTGTAGCTTTCATACAGTACATTTATTATGCTCTTAAATTATTAATAAATATCATGATAAATTAATTTTAAGCAAAAAGTTTAAAAAAAAATGTTTTATTCATCCCATAATTATACGCGGTTAATGGGACTTTCTGGCGCAGTCATTTCGGCGAGACCGTTTCGGCACTGCCATTTCGGCAATAGATATTTTCAACGTTGCCGTTTCGGCGACGAAACAAAAAATCCAATTAATTGAGTCTGCATTTAAATCTGGTTGAAGCGTTTTTAACATTTTTAACAATTTTTCATAAATACTAGCCTTTTTGCTTTGAAGTAGTGCATAAAATATTGGGTGCACACTTAATACTTCTGACAAAATAACATAAACATGAGAAAATAATAATTGAGCAATTCTGAAAGTGCCGTCACAGTACCGGTTTCGGGAATTTTTTAATATTTTTAGTCTACTAAATTGGTCAAATATTAGGACCCTATCTGATTCCTGTCCACTATTTCCTAATAAGAAATTTTCGCTTATTCCATAATTTTGCGAGTAAGTTTGGAATATTTCGAGTAAATGCAAAGGTTTTAAATCCATGGTACTTCTGGAGCTGAATTTTTCTTATTCCGTTTTCTCTTAATCATTTTTCGTAACGCTTCATTATTTTGAAGGATTCCCTAAAAAGATACAACTTTTAAAACGAGGTTAAAATTCATTCAACTGATTTGATCTTAGAATGGGCCGATATTTTAAATTCAGACCGGAGTGATATTATTGAAACCGAGTTTATATAATTTTATTTTCATAATATTTCACTAATTTTCAATCCAGGCTTTTGAAATATTTTATTTAATTACAGTCATTAAATTTTTTTTTTGAATACATAGGCCCATATTAAATACTCACTTTTTTTGATTGTATTACACTATTAACACATTAATTTATTATATTAGAAGTTGTCTCCATCATTTCAATTGCTCGTCTTTTCATTTGTGTAGCTAAAATATCAGTTTCATAATCGCGCGTATGCTCTCTGGTTGCAAGTTCGATAATTTCTAAATTATTTACACTAGTATGCACTCTTACTGGACAAATTATTTTTTTCGATATCTCCAAGATTTCACTTGACTATTCACATTAAATTTATCGGAAATCTACATATAACCATCATGCATTAAAATTTTACAATAACGTTTCGAAAATATTTTATATCCAACGTGAATAAACTATTAAGTGTTTAGATGTTCCGCTAGATGTCAGCACTACATAGAAATTTCGAGTGTAAACGGGAAAGAACAGTCTGGTGGAATAAACCGTATTGTATAAGAAAAACAAAAAAACTGTTAAAGGAAATCGGAGTAAGAAAGTATAAATAAAAGTAAAACATACTGAAATACCGATATACAAAGAAGAATTGTTGTCAAGACAAATTCTTATACACTCAAGTCAATATATATAACTTAACAAATGCTATTATTAAAAAAATAATATAACAGTATTTTTTTTATTTTTTTTTTAATTTATCATACATGAAAATTTTCATTTTGGCCAATAATTTACGAAATACGTTTACACATTACAAAAATCTTGAAAAATATTTAAAGTTAAAACTAAATTAAAATAGGCATAGGTTAACTTCATTTAATTGATCAAACATTTTGTGTAATTTATTCTTATATGTATATAAACTGTTAAAGGGGATGCGATTAAAAAAAATGTTCTACTCAAAATTTAAGGACCACCCTTTTATATAGTTATAAAATGTATACAGTATTAAAATATTATCAACTTTTTTGGGTTAGAGAATACTGATAATTAGGGTTCGGATTTGAAGGCAAAAGCTTTTCTTTTAATAATCATAACAGAAAAATAATTTTTATACAAAAATGTATTTCATTTAATTTCTAAGGCGATGGATGTATAATTTTTTGCCTCTTTTATTTATAAATGCCTTTTTGCTTTTTACTTATAAATACCTTTTAAGTGTTGTTGATTTAATACATTTTCAGTTGATTTAATAATTGTATACACAGCTTACGCATTGTTGGAACAAATCGCTAAGAACTTGTGAAGACGGTGCATTATCGATGTTATGTTTAAATTTAAATTTAATGGGTTTTATTCTTCACAATATTTATCAATATCCCTGAATACTCTATTCGTTACCATCTTATCGAGTATTTGGTAATGTGTAGATTCAAGATTGTTTGTCAGCAGTGTTGTGCTTTAGATAAATTTATATAGATATGTTATCTACATAAAAACTTCATATTTTTATCTTAAATCTTAAAGATCAACCAAGTGTTGATTGGAGAAAAAACAAGCGATGACGATTTAACAAGTAGAAATCTTAATTTAGATAGTTATATATGAAATATGTCCAGATAACTTCGGTGAATGTAGAGAGATCCTTTTCGATGTATAAAAATATTCTGAGCCCAAACCGTCAATGTTTTACTGATGAGTTTATCAAAGAACATGGTAGTGAATTTTTTTTTCTAATACCAACTATTTTGTATATTTAATTTTGAAGTATATTTTTAAATTTCATTTTTATATAAATTAAATGCTTTTTTTTGCCTTTTCATACATTTTAAATGCTTTTTTTTATTGATTATATTGCCTTCAAATCCGAACCCTACTGATTATACAATATATATTAATAACAATTATCATTGTGCATAAATAACAAATGCGTAGTAGACTATGCAAATTATTTATGAAATTAATTTAACAATCAAATATTACCAGTCATACTTTTTTATAGTTCTAATTTATTATGACCCTATATAATGGAGGACAAATTTAATAATTATAACACAAATGGAGAATCTAAAAATTAACATTTATTTAATAGAGGTAGAATTTGTTCAAGAAAAATATGATGCCATCAAAAATTATCTTCATTTTAAATTCAAAATTGAAACTATTGAACACTTTTTACATAAATCATCACTATTATAATAATATTGAAAGATAGTTAAATTAAAATAAAATACATCAAATTATAAGAAACTCATACAATTTTTATTATTATTTTAAAGAAATTAATATAATTGATATAACCTCAAAATAATTCAATTGCTCCTTTAAAAAAAAAAAATTGCTTAACCAAAAATGCTTCGATGTTTTCATAAATTAATAAATGATTTGAGCAATTAAAATATATGATTAAAAAAAAAAATTAAATAAAATAATAGTAATAAACAAAATAATAATATTTTATAACAAAAATAATATATCTTATAAAATAATTTTATAAAATAGCAAAAATTACATAAGAACACAAGACTTTCAAAATTAAAATGTTTTGTTCGCATTATTGTTTAATATAAATTATATCATTGTTCATAGTAAGTTGACATTTTGTTTGGCTTCATTTTACCCCCTCGATTATCATAGTCTTTTACCCTGTAAATACGAACAAGCCAATGTTCAGTTGTATATGCTTCATCTAATACATGTAAAGTAACATTTTTTACTCCTATTTCTGCATTTCGAACTCGATCATAACCAGCTGGTTTACCTACACATTAAAATAACCAATTACAATAAATTAATAAATATAACATTTACAGACCCATAAATAAATTTTATTTCATTTTGTTTCACACTTATTTTTCTTCTCTTTTACTTTGATGTAATAATTTGATAACAATTCTTACTGAATCAGTTTCAGTATCGCCTAAAAAACATCTTAACTTGTTCTCTCTAATTTTATCCATAAATTATAACACTTCAAAGTTACCTCCTTATGCTTCTCTCCCATCCTTCTCACTGTATCATTTCAAGAGACTATTTTAAAATTTACATCTTTATTTCATGTATATTATTCAAAACTCCACAAAATACTTATAGTCAATAAATTATACCCATACTATTTTATTTAGTACTTAATAAAATAATATTAATTACCTCCTTCAGAAAAAACTTGACCAAATCTATAATAGCACATTTTGTACATCAATGAATTTTTTAATTTTTTTGAACCTTCTTTGTCTACACGGAATTCTCCACTTGGCGAGTAATAGTCTGATTCTTTGATGTGTTTACCTTTATCTGTCGATCCTCCAATACGTACCATCCATAAAAATTTATTTATGTCTATAAAATAAATTTAATTAATAAATGTAATTGGAAAATACTATTTTAATCAGTTTCTTTAATTTACCATCTGATGAGTAACCGACGACACCGCCAAAAATTACAAGCACATAATCAACATCTAGTTCTCTCATTATCTCATAAGCTTCATCCTCACCTGATGACATAGCTTGGCCAACTCTAGAAATATGAGTATTATTCCAAGTATTATTATCTACTAAAATTGTTCTATTGGCCATAGCTGTAATTTGATAACCATAATCCCACCATGACATAACTCGAGCATCCTAAATTAGATAACATTAATTATGAAAAACTTAAAAATAAATTAATACTGATAAAAATTACTTCAGCTGTATTCATACGTAGCCAATAATATGCTTCTCTAAAATCATCAAATATAACTTGAGATCCATCATGAGAGCGAGCAGATAACACAATACTAGGTGAACTATACGCCTCAGAAGTAACCCAAGTACAATGGAAAACATAAGACACCAGCATAAATGTTAACATTGTTACAAATGCAGTAGCAATCTAAATAATAATAAAAATAAAAACACTTTTCAATGCTATATTTTAAAAATCAACTTACTTCACTCTTCATTGATTTACTACTTTCATTTTTCTTTAATTTTTTTTCTGGTACTTTTGAAGAACCTTCTATATATTGTTCCATGTAAGTTGATAACATAGAAGAAGCACCAATACCAGATAAAATACACATAACTGGTGCAAGTACTAACATTAAACGTACCATTACACCCTAATTGAAAAAAAAAGTATGTTAAGTAATAAAAATTATTAATAAAAAATAAAATATTCTTACAGCGAAATAAATACTAGTAACTCCATAAAGAATCACAAAAATATTAGCATCAGTAAGTTTTGAGAAACAAAAATATAAACCAACTGGAAACAGGAACACTTGTATGTGTAAATCAAAATAGAACGAAGACCAAGATGTAGGTTGATGTTCAGAAACAGATGCAATGATTGGTATATGATTTTTAGCATAAGATGGATCCAACAAAGTGTAGAAACGACCAGTCCAAGGAGCAATTTTTCCTGTAAAATATTATTTATTACATAACTAAAGGAAAATTATTAAAATATAAATATGTTTACCAGATATTGTGAGTAAGGTACCAACAGCTATTACAACACCTCCAATAAGATATATAATAAATTGGAATAATGTTTGAAAATCATCACCAATAATCTTTGTTTTCAAATAATTTATTCCACCAAGTATTTGACAAAGTCCAAATACACCTAAAGCCTGTAAAAAAAAGTCTTTATAGATTAAATAACATATTAATAACATTTGATAGTACCATCATATGTTCTGAAGTTTGCACTGGTTGGAAACCAACAAATGATATTTGCATTGATAATATGGTACCAATACAGTATAGAGTACTGTATGCTACATAAATTCTATGAGAAAAACGTCCAGTAACCATCAAAACAAATACATGCATTGGTATTAAATTAATCAAAAATACATAACCACCCCAAGATGATACCTAAAAAAAAAAATGTATTTAAAATGTTTAACAATATAAATGTTATAAGCAAATATTACTTATACATAAATAGTTAATTATTAATATTATAAACTAAATATTTTAGCTATTATTTTGGATATAAATGTTTATCTTACCATATAAAAATATGCAAGTGCAGTAAATGCTGACCATAGTATACTACCAGTTTTTACGGATTTGATCCATGCATAATAAGTCAAAAGCATACAAAAAATAGCAATAGCTGCAAAAAATAACATTAACCACATTGAAATTTTCAAGTATAAAAATATTTTACCTTCATTATCATAAGATCCAGCAACCGACCGAGATATATATCCAGGAACAATTGATATCATAGCAGCTGCTATAAGTCCTGAACGAGTATCTTTTAACTCTTTGGTTAAAAGGAATGTAATTAAAGTAGTAAAACTAGAAAATAAAGGTGCTAAAAATACACATATGTTCCTTATCTCCAAAGTTATATTAATAAAGTGAAGAATGTTGTATATGACAGTTGATGTTATCATTAAACCTGGATAAATTGTACCTGAAAATATCATATAAATTATACTTCAACTACATAAAACCATAGCAATCTACAAATTACCTCCAATAATTCTACCCAAAGGATACCATGCCCGATCATCAAACCAATTATGAAACTTATAAAATCCTTCTTCTGCAAGATATTGTGTAGTACGATAGTTGAAGTAAGGATCAAATTCATGGATAACACTTTCAAATCGAAGTACAGAAAACAGTCTTGTAGCAAAAGCTGAAAAATGTATTATTACACGATGTGATTCAAAAATAATAAATCATATTTAGTTATACTCACACAGTATTGCTGCAGTAGTCAGAATACTCATCTTTAAAAAGGACTCTTGTTTTTCACTAGACATGCCAAATAGCAAAGGCTTATATAACACTGAAGAACCCATTATGAATTGGAATCTATAACATGAAAAGAAAAAAATGTATTAGATTTTACATCTAAAAGTAAAGAAAAAATGAATAATACTGTACCACAATATATAATTTACACAATGAAAAAAAAAATTCATGGAAAAATTGAGTAATATTTTAGGAAACTTACATTGATATGTAAAGCATAATATTTAAGAAGACTAAGCACCTAAATGATATGCCTAAGAAAACCTATAATTCTTTCTGTTATATGATAGCTATAATTTTTAAAAGATATAACCTATATACAAACTATTATTATGAAATAGTATAAATACGAATAATGTTTATATCTTTATAGTTAATTAAACACTGAATAATTAAAATTATTAAGTTCAATAGTGTTGTTCTCTAAAAATGTTAATACTAATGAACTTCTATTAAATAATAAAACCAAACAGTAATTTTAATATTTTGGATTTCAATTTGTATTCAATGTAATTGTATTTAAGTACTTCCATGTAAAGATAAAAAATTTGAATCGCTAAAACATGGCAAGAACATCGTTATAAAAAAATTAAAATAGAATTTCGACGAGTGTAACGGTGTGCCAAAATATAAATGTATTATTATACAGATAACAGATAATCGTCATTACAAAGGTAGTTTAAATGCTCTCATGTTCAAAGATCTACGTACTTACGTTTATTTCGTTCTAATATTTCGACGAAAATTGGCCGGCGTTTAGCCAGCGGTAATCACAAGTTTGATATATTGAGTTAACTTTGTCCGTAGGAATGTCAAGTACTGCTTAGATACATTTTAAATGATTACATTGAACACATAATTTTACTCATGAGAAAAAAAATCCCTGAACTACTAGACGCGTAAAACGGTTGAACGAGACATTTTCTAGGAAATTTCATATCCGCGAGCCCAAACGACTACAGTTATAATTGAGCACTGCTAGTGGTTGAATGTTGATATTTGATAGAGATATGTGATGTATACATCAGTGTATATGGGTCCGGCACGGATCTGAACACGGCTAATGTGTTCACACGTAACGGACCAAAGACGTTGTAAACCACCAATCGCTACTTGGAGGAACACATCCGTGTTATCACGCAGTTCATGGACAGCAAAACTTCATTGTGACGGGCGCGTGATTTGATAATGCCGCTACTTAGTTTTCGTTTAATTTTTCTTCGGGATTCCACGTATCGCGGAAGGCGCGAACGGGGGAGCTGAAACCGCTGAAAATCGATGGTGTTTCACCGTCTAAAAAAAAAAAACCGGGGTGCTAAAAGTTTTCTCTTATCCCCCCCCCCTAGTTATGTCTAAGTTTAATGAATTACCATTGCTTATTTTACGAATTTATCAATACGAATTAATGGTTAACAAGACCACCCGATACTTTAGCACTAAATTTTAAATGTATTTCAAATATTCTGTAAAAACGTAAAACGATAGTACAACGGAGCTTTTCTACCTACCAAGTGCAAAACATGCTAAATGCGTAGGCAAATATCTGCTCTAACTGTAATTTAATAAAACTATTATTCTTCAATAAAACTATAAACGTCACACCAACTCAGCTGTGTACAATTTGATTTGTTTTCTTATTAAATTGGTATACTTAAACGTACATTTTATGTTCGAGTTTCTATTTTGTTATTGTCAAACTCAATAAAATATACTTTATTACATATTATTTTAATTGATTTTATTATATTTAGGTACAGTTTTCATAATATACATATTATACAGTGTATCTATGATGACGTAAATTTTACATATATTCAACAAATTGTTTTTGATACATCATTCGATGATTAGCATTCGTTGAAGATAGACGTTTATTATTTCGCACATCTTTACCGAAAACTTTCTTGTCAAACACAAACATAATCGACTTTGTACAAATATGGGGATGATGAACAACTCGGGCAAGACCAACGTGACGGCCGTTGAAAAGGTTGAATCGATCGGAAATGGATTCAGTACGAAATATTTTGATGCGTTGATGGGCAAGCCAAATCCGATGGCTTTACAACAGATGTTCAACGAACAGTCTGTATACATATTCACACAACATGGACATCCTGACCATGAAATGTACGGGATGTATTTGATTGAAAGTTTCATAAAGTGGATGGAGTATAGTAAATGTACAGTTACCGTTCGTTCATTGAACACCGTTAGACCGCACCCAACGGTGTTTACGGTTATATCGGCCTGCGAACTATAGCGTCCAGAATACGGCATGACAATCAAGTTCACTAAGACATTTATCATTAAATGCTTCCCGTGAACCACAACAGAGTACCGCATTGTTGAAACGCATTATAAATTTGAGGACGATTATCTTCCAAAAGATGTATCGGTGAACATGACTTGTAAGAAGATATCGTTAAAAAAAGCAGAAATTATCGATTATTTACGTTCGTTTTAAATTCAATCAATCATTAGTGAACTTGGACTGCGATTGTTTATTATTCCTCCCGTAAAGCATAGTAACCGCACACGAAACAGATTGTGTACAGTGGTTATTACAAGCCATTTGTTTTTTATTTTATTTTATGTGATAATGTATGCGTTTAATAAAACGAAAGTGAAAGATAAAAAAGTTCGCCAATAGGTATTTAATTTACTTATTTTCGTTTGCCTCACGGCCGTCGATAACATTTTTCGGTCGATTTACATTGACTGCAGTTCGCAGAGGAACGGAAGAGATTTAAAAAAAAAAGAAATCAGAACCGCACCGATTGCAGACTTATGCTCGTGTGCATAGTCCTGTTGTTATGTGTCATATATAATTGCTTAAGTGACCATTATATAAGTGATCCATAATATTTATATGTAACCCGTAACTATTTTTATGTACCACATAAGTTGGTTTTGCATAAACGATATTTATGTATTCAATAGTTATGTAAAGTGTATGTGATAATAACCATTGTTATCAGTGTAACTATGTTCATGTTACCGAAAATGCATAGGATAACGAATAATATTAATATTTTTAAATTTGTATATTTAATTTTGATTTCTAATTTAATAAAAATATTTTATATAATGACAAGAAATTCAGAAAAATAAACGCGTCCGTGCTCCTAATATTTTTGAAGAGGAAAAATGTTAACAATAGTTTTTACAAATTAAAATTAGATAGGTTAAAAGTTTACTATTGTATAAAATCGTAATGTTATCAATAACTTGAATGGGAGTTATAGGCAATCCTCGATGATTGACTTGAATACCTAATAAATCTACTAACTGATCCATGACAATCAGTTTTGGAAAACGATAACGTTTCAAAAATGTATAGTCATTGTATTTTTCAAACGGGTCTTCTATACGAATATACTTTCTTGGCATTTGTTCAACATCAAATTCATCGAAATATTCATCAACCATTTCTACATAATTAACAAAGTTATAAAAATCATCCTTATTACTGTATTTTAGTAATACAATTCTTTAAAATTTATAATTTGAACACGAAAAAAATATTAATATTAATATAAAAGTATAAAAATATTGATTAAAATATAATGTAACACAATATATTAAAACTATTTAATATATTATATTATTAATCAAGAATCGAGTTATTTCTTGTTTTATTCTAATTATAATTAATTTATTATTTAAGTATTTTTTATTTATTTGAAATTTAGGTTGCTTTGAACTCAAATTAATGTCATCCAAATCATCAGACTGTATATTAAAATTTAAAACATCCTTATTCAGTTAAATTTTTTCATCATGGTCGTTATGTTCATATCGTTCATGGATAGATATTTTATTTGCTTTTAAATCATCAAATGATTCTTGACAGACATGTCAAAATTATTTATTCGCGTTTATGTTCTCTGTTTCATTTTGTTTTTAATATTCAAAATTGAAGGACATATTTAAAATTAGTCTAACTACTTATCATGTTTTCGTTGATTTAAGTAATTTCACAAAAAGGGTACTGTATCACTACAGGTAGGTACGTATAAGTACTGACAATACTGTACATAATATGTATTCATGTTATAAAATATAATAAAACAAATGAAAGAAAGTATTTAGATGATAAAATTTATCCTTTATTATTAAAGTACTTGATTGATAATTGATTAATAATAAAACCATGAAAACTAGATATTTATCTATATATATACCTAGTCTTCATGATTAAAACAATAAAACAATGAGCTTATTGATAATAAATTATATCCATATTAGAAATACGTCAAAAATTTGAATTGGACCGATAAGGACACGACATTAAAAAGACGCGCAGTGGCGTTCTGGGTAACTTAATACACAGCAGGGTCGAGGAAAGAATAAAAAAAGAAAAGAAAACCTCTTCAAATGAAGACATTGGCAACACAAAGCCTAATAACTTGCTTGGATATATTAACGTGAAGCATCAGAATTTTCAAAAAAATTTGAATGAGAAATATTTCATCCATGTTATGAATAACAAATAAATCGCTATATTGATCCTTCTATTCTCGCACACGCTAAAGAAAAATAGTTAGAAATATTTAAAAATAAATAAATCGAAACGATATTCAAGTAAGGGTGAATAGAAACTATTAAACCTACAACAGACCTTAGTATTAAGTTGTTTAATGTCTTTTTATAATTAAAATAAATTGTTGTACCTAAATAAAAACTTCTACATTTAAATAATATTCCGCGGCACACGGATTAACAAACCGTAATGGAAACAATGATGAGACAGCTAATCTATGTACAATGTTATTTGTCATATTCTATTTCGGTTTGTTAAATCATTACATTCGTACAAATTACATTTTTTATGATTACTACCAAGAGTATATGAGTATTAATATTAATAACAAATAAATTAAAAAACTAAGCCTTTTTAAACGTACTTCTTTTACGGCAATTGACAAGTATTTATAAATATTATTTATTGTTATAAGACACAATTTTTAATATTTAATTCATATTTCAAATAACAATACATTGTTATATCCTAATATGAGCTATAGCCTAATAGTTTTAGGAA